CTCAAACGATAGATGCAGCATTCTGTTATGCTTGTCGACATTTTCCTATGCCTGGAAATTTGCCAGATAATACTTTCACACGCAGTGGTTTCTCTAATTGGAAAAAAGCAACATATTCTGATGGAGGATTCATTTCGCATATACGTTCAAATGCGCATATGGCAGCATATCAGACTTGGATTGAATACAAAAATAAAAAACCACAACAAGCTATTCTGGATATGTTATCAGACAAAAGAGAGAAACAAATAAAAGCTAATCGCCATTATATTGCAGCTGTTATTGATGTACTCAAGTACACTGCTGTGCACAAAATAGCCCAAAGAGGACATGACGAAAGCAGTAGCAGTATGAACAGAGGAAATTTTCTCGATTTAATAAATTTGGTTGGCAAGTATGACTCTGAAATAGGTAAAAAAATAACTTCATTGCCGGGAAATGCAAAATACACAAGCAAGACGATCCAGAATGAAATACTTCATTGCATGGCAGCAATGGTTCAGCAACAAATCATCAATGAAGTCAAAGAGAGTGTTCAATTTGCAATAATGGTAGATGAAACGAAAGACTGTCGAAAAACAGAACAGGTTAGCCTAGTAATACGATATTTTGTACGTGACGCCGTATGCGAAGCATTTATTGGATTTGTGCCTGCTCATGATCTAACTGCTGATGGTTTGAGTAATCTTATAATTGATGAACTGAAAAAATTTAGCCTCGATTATCAATCAAACCTGATTGGTCAAGGATATGACGGAGCGTCTGTCATGAGCGGCAAACACAAAGGAGTTGCTACTCTAATTACTCATCAAGCAAAACAGGCATTATACATTCATTGCCATGCTCATCGGCTTAATCTAGTCCTAGTAGATGTGGTTAAAAGTGTGCAAGTTGTGGATGAATTTTTTGCCTTGTTGGAAAAGCTTTATGTTTTTTTATCTGGCTCATTTGTCCATGAAAGATGGATTAACGTTCAGAAAAGTTTATATAAAGGAAAGCCACCAAGAGAATTACACAAGTTAAGTGACACACGATGGGCGTGTAGATATTATGCATGCAAAGTTGTAAAAAATCATTTAACTGCCATTATACAGCTCCTGCGTGAATTGTCAGATGGCCAAAATGCAAATCGTGCATTAGATGCGCGTTCTCTTTTGATTCACATCGATAGTCAGTTTATTGACATACTAGCGCTAATGTGTGATATTTTCGGTCGAACTCAGTCATTATCTATTATGTTGCAATCTACTCATATCGACTTGTTAAAAGCTTGTGATTTGATTGAGTCTGTACGGGAAGATTTCAGTGATATGAGAACAAATGAAAAGCAGTTTGAATTAATGTGGAAAAATGCAGTATCGTTGTTTAATGCTAACAAAGAATGTTTAGTACCTGCTAGAACTCCACAAAGATCACGGTGTCTTCCTCAAAGTTTAGAAGATACTATAATTCTAGAAACGATTGGAGAAAGATCACGAATTAATAACAAAAATACATTTAAACAGCAAGTTTTTTATCCAGTTTTGGATAAACTCATTGCCGAGTTTGACCGTCGTTTTGGCGAGCAGCAGCGTAGCGTCATGAAAAGCTTGCAAGCACTCAGTCCGTCGTCCAACAGTTTTGCAGATATAACTCTTGTTAAACCATTAGCGGTGATTTATAATGCAAATGTGGAAGATTTAGAGCATGAGCTGCATCAGGTAAAACGTCTAATCGGGCGCGCTCAGGATGATACAAAGCCAACAACATTACTAGGACTACTGATGTTTTTAAAACCATTCAAACAAGCGTTTCATGAGTTTTATCGATTATGTAAAATTGCCGTTTCGCTTCCTGTCAGTACAGCAGCATGTGAGAGGAGTTTTTCTGCATTGAGACAAATTAAAACATACATAAGAAACTCTATGCATGACAGTAGATTAAGCAGTGTATCAATTCTTGCAATTGAAAAAGAAAGAACATTATCATTGCATGAAACGGAAATTATTGATGTTTTTGCTACTAGTCATAAAAACAGAAAAATGACTTTATTATAATATTTTTTTCTAAATGTTTTTTAAAATTGGTTTTATTTGTAATAAGGTATGTATGTCTGTGTATGTATGTGTATATGAAGTTGGACTTATTAATGTGCATATGAGATATAATACATGTATTGTATATATATGAATACCTTTTAGTATTTTTTTTTAATTTTTTTTTGGATTAATGTGAAAAGGACAAAACACTCCAGCATGTCTGGCCCCCCCATGCCCTACCCCTTGCCCATCGCTTGCCCCCCCAAAACCAATTACCTAGATCCGCCCCTGCAATGTTATAGTCATTGTTTCATACATATCGAGATATCTTAATTAGTTACTTATTACATTGAAGTTGTTCTGTTTTACACGATTTTCGTCACGTGGGATCGATGAAATTTTTAATTTGAGCTTGAAAACTCATCCATTTAGTCGAATATCCGGATTAGTCAAGGTGATGTTTTACAAAATTTTTTGTAACACAATAAAAGTTAGAAATATGTTTTATAATGCTTGAAGTGTTGTACACTGTTTCTACTTTGTACTGATTCAGTAATGTCAAGCATTCAATTAAAAACAACATTAACTGTCATTCATGATTGCAACGAAGTATGTACCGTAGAGAATAAATTTAACAATAACAAATGTTGTAACAGTGAATTTTTCAATACTATCAATTAGATTGTAAAATCGCAAACGGAGATTGTGGAAAGAATCTAAGATGCGAGGAAGTAACAATTGGTAGGATTACATTTTCCGATTGCGTCTGCGACCCTGGCAAGTACAGGACCACACTCTGGACCTGCGAAGGTGTGTAGATTTTTCGAAATGAAAATTAACACCTTTTCTTACTCGACTTTATCAAAACGGTCAAAATTGTAACACCAGAAGCACAAAGGCTCGTTATTCAAAACATTTAGCCGTCTTGACATGAACAGAAATTTCAGAAGTATACATATCAAATCAAATATTGTATTTATATAGCGCCAATTATAATTGCTTCTCATCAGCGCTCTCCTCGTATGAAGCATGTTGAAAGCGAAGACATCATCGGTTGAGATCACTAGGAGTTACCAAATAGTTATGTCTTTAGACGTTTTCTAAACTCAGCTAATGATAACCCGGATATACGTTGTTCGATAGGTAGGCTGTTCCAAAAAATAGGCCCAGCAACTGCTAAATCTCTATCTGCTGTTTTCAGATTCCGATCTCTAACATACGGCGTGTTTGAATCAGCAGACCTTAGACGCCCATGTGATGACATAGATGAAACTCGAATACACTTATCTTCTAAATATTTCGGAGTCAGACCATTAAAACTTTTAAATACCATTACACCCAACTTGAACATGATTCTTTGTTTAACACGCAGCCAATGCAACTCCTTTAGAATTGGTGATGCATGATCAAATTTTAATTTGCGATATATCATTCTAGCAGCCTGATTCTGAACCATCTGAAGTTTAGACAACAGTTTATCAGCTATGCCATATAGAAAACTGTTACAATAATCCAATCTAGAGTTGACAAAAGCATGTACTAATAGAGTCATTGTATCTACCGATTTTGTGACTTGACGTAATTGACGTAGTTGGAACACACATTTTTTAACCAATAAACTGACTTGTGAACCCATTGTCATACGGGAGTCCATCACAATTCCCAAATTGGTAACCGTTTTACTGAAACTTATATCAGTCATGCTGATGTTAATCGATGAAGGTTCAACCGCTGACGTTTGTTGCCATGTACCATCCAACATGAACTGAGTCTTAGTCTGATTCAACTTTAGCCTACTTTGACTCAGCCACGAGCCGACATCAGATATAGTTTTTGTCAGTTTCTCTAAAACGGTAGGCATCTCATCTGGGAAACATGAAACGCAAATCTGCATGTCATCTGCGTACCCATGGCAATAATAACCATCTTTATTCAGTATATCCAATATCTCTGCAACGTACAAATTAAAAAGAATCGGTCCAAGAACAGATCCTTGAGGCACCCCTGACGAAAGTTTTATTGGTTCCGAGAGACCACCTGAGTAAGAAATCTGCTGAGTCCGACCAGTAAGAAATGATTCGAACCACGCTAACGCAATCTTATTTAAACCATAATTAGTCTGTCCAGCAGGATTTTATGATTCACAGTATCGAACGCCGAACTCATGTCCAGGAATGTCAACAAAGTTACTTTTTGTACATTAACTGCTGAATAAACATGAGAAAATATATCCGATAGAGCTGTTTCGGTCGAATGAAACTTTCTGTATCCAGATTCCAGATTGATGCGAAGGCCAAATACCATTTTTATTTATATGAATATTTAAAACTAACTCAACGGAACGTTCAATAATTTTAGAAACGAAAGACAAATTTGACACAGGCCTATAGTTTATCAGATCTGATTTATCTAATCCTGTCTTCTTTAGAATTGGCGTGACAATTGCATGCTTGCAAACCTGTGGCATTACACCCTTCGTTAAGCACATATTGATTAAGTCCGTTAAGTAAACAATAAAATAGTCAGCATATTCTTTGAATACATGCGTCGGTATTGGGTCGAGTGAGCATGACTTCGTAGGTGACGAATTAACAACTTTAGATATCTGTTCTTCAGTCAACACTGGAAACGATTCGAGTGGAAACATAATATTAGCATTAGTAGAAATAACTGAAAAATTAAAACATTCAGTTGACTTTTCGGTAACTTTCAACTTGTCAGCAAAAAATTAATAAATAATAAATATTCATGTGAATAAGTATAGAGCGGCTCGATGGTGTGACGGTTAATGTACCTGCACTGTTGTTGCATTGACCTACCTGGTTCGAAAGCAAGAAAAATCTTCGCCTATCACATGCAACCTATGATGCTGCGATTGTATATTTATTGTGATACGTGTGTTTATTGTTCATACCTCTGTTAAATGCTTGAGAGTTAACTGTAAAATAAATATGCATTGTAATTTTTTCTTTTCACAGCTCTAAAAATTAGAAGAAATTTATCTTTTAGGAAAAAAGTTTCTTCAGTTGGTTTGTTTGTTTATGATCCTGTCGTATATAGCAGGCCCTCTTTAGTGGATGGGGTGTTATTGGGAGCCCTCATGCTACATATAAAAAAGAATGACCCGCAGTGGATGGCCATAGACTTGGAAGATGAATATGAAATAGAATACGTGGATATCTACAACAGGCAGTGCGCTAATGGATGTTGTAAGTTAATTTTTTTATTCACCAATTGGAAGTTAAGGACTAATAAATAGTATCTGAATTATGAGGTACAACTGTCATGCCCGCTCTTTATTCCTGTGTAATATTTTTTTTCTGTTTACAACTAAATTTTTCTAGTTATGGTGAATTAATTGATTTTGATATTGTTTTATGCAGTGGTTACGGTGGCCTACACTAGACTATTTTGTGTTATTTGGTCTCCGAGAATCTGCTGTATGGCAGTATTATCTTTTAATTGATTTTGAATAAAATATTTTTGTTCATTTGTTTTTGTTTGTTAACCATATATAATTTAATATTCAACTTCAAACAATCTCTAAACACGTGTAGATACACGTGTTAAATCACTGAAAGTTGGCGTGAACAAGACATTGGAGCAAGCAACAGAGCAGAAGTTGGGCAAATACGATTTATGCGGTTTTCTGCCAGAGCTCAGTAATTACCGCGCAGGAAAACCTCTGAGAATTACTTGTACACCTAAGCCGGTACTCGGTCGCTTTGTCATCATTCAACCTAGTAATGAAATGCCTCTGGGGTTGAATGAAGTGGAAGTCTATGAAAGTGATACAAATTGTTTTTTTTTCTAGTTTCATTTTTGAAGTCTACGAAAGTGAAACGTATTGATTATTTTTTCGGCTTCATTTTTACAGGAAAAATAATTATTTGTCAATAAACAAAAGCAGGGTTGATGACGGCCGGCAAATTAGCTAAGACGTTAAAAATACCGTGCTTCGCATTGTTATTACAGCCTGACTTAGTTCGAATAATTACGCTACTGCAACACTGAAAGACCATATTATGTCTTATGCTGTGCCTGTGCCTAAAATCAATTCTATATGTAAAATGTATGTGTAACCATTATTACCATTGAGACGCAGAAAGTCTATTAAAATCCTATTTCTATTCAATCTTTAAAAAACCATTGAGACCCGTAGCGTCCACTTTTTATCGATTTCCAAGATTTGTCTTCGTTCAATTTTTTTTAATTCCTCGGTAGTCCATTTGAAATGCCATCTATTCATTTCTTGACATGTCTTCAAATTTTGTCCAATTTTCCATGTTCCTTATTAGATTGCAATCTTGCAAATATGTCCGAGGAGTCCCACAGTTTTTTTTGTCTTTCTGAAGCAAAGTTTTGTTTTCCTATCTGGTTTTTCATGCCTCAGTTTTTCACTTTTCTGTCTCCAGCAGATTCTCGACAACTTCTTGTAGCATTCCTATCCATGGGCTTCCAATCTTTTGATTTGTCTCTTGTTCGTCATGTTTTTTTGTCATGAAATGTTTCTACTTATCATAGATTCCAAGCTTCTCTCGTATAAACATAAATAATAATAATTCAATTTTCAGCCAACATTTTAATTTGTCGAACGTTTCATGAATCTTGGCAGAATTCAAACGTCAACCGGTCAAGTACGTTGGCTGTTTTGAGGTCTTCAATTCGGCAGCCCCGGCTTCGAATTCAAAAGAAGAATGTCAAGACGACTGTGAGAAACACGACCCTGATAATGTGGTCTTTGCTATAAAAGTATCTATCTTGCGCCATTTAATTTTTTTTAATCTTTCATTTTGTTTTTTGATAACGTTTTATAAATTATTTCCGCATGTTTTAATATTTTAATTTTTCATGGGGCAATTATATTTGTTTAAAAATTGTACAATTCTTCAAAAAATTTCTATTTTCTATTCAATTGGCTTTACTTCTTCCAACTGATATGTGCTAAATCAAAACTAACAGCCTCTTCATGGCACCATCATTGATAGTGAAATTACCCGACGTGGGTTGCTATGAGTTTTCTTTATTGGAAGTAAATTGGTTTGAGGATGAACTAATGTTGATTGAAATGAGAGGTCAGTTTCAACGGTAAAAGTTTCATACAGCTGGGAATTTTTTATTTAAAAAAATGACGGGGGAGGGGAACGTAGAACAGGCTTTCCTTAGTTACTTCTTTTTTTTAGTTACTTAGTAACTTCCAAATTTCCAAACTCTCAAATTTATCCTTATAAAAGTTTAAAAAATGCTGATACGTTTAATCCGTTATAAATAGTGTTTAATTAGTTTCTAATTTTGAAGAATGGGAAGTGTTATTGTGGAGGGAATGCTGATCTGTTTGTGGCAACAAACGAAGCTGACGGCTGTGAAGACAATTTCGCTGTTTATTCGGGTTCGTTGTGCCTACATGTTTGAAGGTTTTCAATGAAATGAATATTTTTGTTCATACTCAAACAAAATCAGACAAAAAAAATACTGTCAGTACAATAATGGGCTGCTTTGAAGATGCAAAATTGGAAGAAAAAACTGATTCCAACATTACCGTGCAAAAAGACCTAGCTTATAAGTCCTGCTTTTTGTATTGTAAGGGACAATATTCTAAAGAGTTTGCCATCAAGGTTGACTTTAACATTAATGTTGATAAGTTTTCATCGTCTAAACGTTGGATCGTGTTGAAAATTTGTTCGGCATGCGTCAACAGGTGGACAAGTGCATATGTGGGGATTTGTTCGTTGCAAGTGAACAGGTTGCTATCGGTGAATGTAGTGTGACTTGTAAGGACCAGAATGATAAATCATGCGGAGCTGCAAACCGCTATTCTGTGTACAACCGTGAGTCCTGTTTGTTCAAATTTGTTTTTCTAATACAATCATTATTGCCTTTTTAATGTTAATGTTCTTGTTGCTGTTGTTAATATTATTACAATACATATGCATGCTTATTTTGGAATAATAACCTAATAATGATTCGCATTTTAACTGATAATCTACGTATTTTAATACTTCACTGATACTTGCAACGGATCGTTTCACTCATGAAGTTTTCGGCACTTATGATTTCCTTGAGAGACCTCAAAATAATTTCTGCATGAACCTCCCAGGATCAGCTGGATGCCAGCCAGGACAGTGTAGTCCAGGTTGGAAAGGAACACGATGCGATATAAGAAGTAGGTGAAACATTTTAGATTTCCTAAATTTCAAGAACTTCAAAAGTAAATGCTTTCAAACAAATTTTTCTTGCTGGGAATAGGTTGTCAAAAAAATAATGGTGGCTGTGGAAATAAGGCTCAATGCGTAGAAACTATCGTTGAAAATGGAAGAATTATATCAGAATGCAAAGTTCCCGATGGTTTTAAAGTGAAGAAAAGTGGAAATTTAATTCGTATGTAGATTTATAGATTTAAATGTAAACGTTTCTAATTGATAATCCATCTTTCAATATGTCATTGACGTAATCTTTTATTTCGTACAATGCATTTTATAGGAATGTTATGAAATTTATTTTGTGCGATCATCCTAACCAGGAACAGACGTGATGTATCTTGGGTGTTACTGGAGTGTTGTCATTGAGAAGAGCACGCCTGTTAAATCGTATGTGCAGTGCAAGAAATTCTGTTTGGCCGTGAGGAACATTTTCATGATTGGCTTGCAGGTAGGTTTTTGATGATTTGTAAATAAGGATAACAAGAAAATGAATGAAAATCTGGAAACGTTGAACGGCAGAGAGGTGAGGCATGCCACTGCCTCAGTGGTGCAAAATATCCAGTCAGTTCATCTCATTGTGATATGAAGTGCTCCAATGGTTATGATTCGTGTGGCGGTCTCGAAGTCTTCTCTGTTTATCAAAGTTATCCATCTTTGTTTTTTATCGTTGAATTTTCAGAAATTTAAGAAAATTAAAAGTTGTTCATTTGGAAAATTAAAACGATGTAATCTGCATTTGTTAAGTTTTTTAAAAAACAATAAATATAAATAAAATAATTTTAATTTATATTTTACCAGTTAAAGAAAGATCGGATTTCAACAAATCTCTAGTAGGTATAGACGAGTCCGATCTTACCATGGACAACAGCATACCTTTATCTGATCCTGCGATGACGATCCAAAAATGCATGTTAACTTGCTTAGAAAAAAAAAGTTACTATGCTAAGATGAAGGTTTTTTGCAAACCTTTGCTATTTTTGTTTAAAATATCTTAATAATATTTAAATGAATAAATTTAGCCCTATGTAACCTTAAAGAATTTTATCTTCAACCATTTTCTTGAGTTTAATTTTCCATTACAGTTTATTCTGTAATGTCGTCCACCTGTACTATGGCAGCATTAAATTTTTACTTTTTTTTAACAATTTCAGTTAAACTGTCATTTTTCATTTCACAGAAATGTCTAAAAAAGTCCCAATTAATGACATTGGGATAATTTTACTTTTTTTTATTTTTAATTTTACTTGAATTAGTTTTAAAACACGAGATCGAAAGCAAATTATTATAACCATTACTGACGCAGAACGAATCCGGTAATGAACCGCTGTGCTATTGTTCGAAAACATCTGACACTATTAAATGCTTGTCAAGTTATGAAAGTTTGTCCAAATGCTCAGTTGATGCAAACTGCCTGACAGCAAGAACAGGTATTGCTTCATAGAAAGAGAAATTTATTCTAAGAGTCTGTACTTATCATTTTGCTTTTAGGAAACAAAATAACAAAAAATTTTTTTATATGTTTCTTGGTTCTTAGATGTGTGCTTTAGAATGCTATGAAATTATATAATATTTTGCTATAAATTTATAACAAGTTTTCAGACACTTTGATTATCAGACGGCTTTTTCTTATCAATCGAACTGTAAATCAGTTGACTTAAATACATCAAATTGCTTAAATGGATGCAAACCAGGCTGGAAGAATGAATCGTGCAACGAGAGAGGTCAAATATTTCTCGTTATTGATTTGTCGTGATTGTAAAAGATTAAAAGTAATCAACAATTTATATCACGTATTTAAAAACACCACCGAGAACGATGATGCGTGTGTCAGGTGATAACAAACCGTGCATGGTGATAACAAACCACATCATCGTTCTCGATTCTTAAACATCTGAACATCAGCCTTTCAGATGAGCCACAGCAACATGATGTGCCCGTTTATTGTAACTTTCTTAATCTTATTTGCAATTTCTATTGGATTCAATTTTCAAAAGTCCTAATTACTTTTCTTTCGTGATTCATCGTTTCTGAAAAAGTTTTTTAATTTCTCTCTCCTATTTACTCTAACTTATTGTTCAAATTTAATTTGTCTGCCATCATTCACTATAAAATTATGTCAGAAATTTTCGGTTTTTCTTCACATTTTCTAAAACATTATTTGTGTTTCATTATTACATCTGCTTTTTTCATTCTATTTAATTTTAGTACGATTTTTACGATTTATTCTTTTGAAAAATGATTTTATTTAGATTGCTTCACCAATACTGCCACTTGCAATCCCTTGAACTGTGAAATGACAATGGTTCTGGGGAAGGAATATTCCGAATGTGTTTGTCCGAAATATCATTACAAAGAACATTTTTCTAATTGCTACCGTAAGAATATATTATTATTTTCAACTGTTTTGTTTTTTCAAAATAATACAGTTTCAAAGAACTTTTTATCGATCTTTACAGCTTTGCCAAAAACAGTGAACTTAGCATTCGGTAGGAAGATAATAGAACCTGCTGTCAATGCGAGTGTTTTTTCAAATTCTTCTTTAAATGAATTAGAACTGAAACAATCCAGCTGGGATTATGCAGTAGATGGAAATATAGTGGATTGGGAGGTTGTAAGTTTGTTATATATAGAAAGTTCAGTTATTTTTTTTGCTGGCTGGATGGCTGTTGATCTGGAAGATGAATACCAGATAGAAACTGTCGTTATTTATCCTAGGAAGTGCGACCATCAATGCAAAAGTTAACAAAAACTACGTTCTTGTTCAGTTTTTGTCAATTTTTTACTGGATATTAAACTATTTTAAATTATGTATTATGTTTTCTAATAAAAATTAAACCGACTCATGAATTTTTCAAAGTTAATTTTTTTTAATAAATAGCAGCATGTCATTTTTATTCATTGTAACATTTTTTTTAAATTGAAAATTTTTTTCAAATTTGTAAACAAATTTAATAAAAAATACTTGTTGGTACCTAGGTGCAATTGTTGTGCATCTCAACTCGTCGAATTCGAAATCAGTTGAATGTGGTAGGTATCCAGTGAACGTAAAGAATTGCCATCAGAACGATTCGATCAATATCTATTGCAGCAACACGGAGCACCAAACAAAATACGTTATTATACTGAAACAGGTTGATGTTGTTGAAAATGATGAAAAATTGGTAAGTGTTTTCACCTTCAATGAAGTCGAAGTCTATGGAGCAGGTGTGTTTTTAGTCCAAATCGCTTGTTCTTAATGACTTCTAAATCTTTTGATCTTGTTAATTATTTTATTTACGATAATATTTTCTAGCCAGGAAGTCCAACCCATATGTATACATTGGCTGTTTCGAACAGTTTGACTTCTTCAACTCATCTGAGACCAAAAATAACTACGAAGATTGTTACAACTTTTGTGAAGGACTAAACATAGAAAATTACATTTTTGCTATTTTTGTACGTTTATTTATAAAATTTTTATAAATTTTTAATTTTTATTATTATTTTAACTTTTATAAACATTTCATAGTAACTTGAAAAGTTTTTCACAAGCACACATAACCATTATTCAATTAATAAAATAAATGGACCAAATGTCTGACATTTTTAGAATAAAAGTTGTTATTGCGGGAAAGACGCAGATGTTCAGATTGATAAAATGGAAACCTGCGATGAACATACGGTCTTTTCAAGTTAGTATCAATCCTTACTTTCTCAGTTGTTTCAAAGTTCGGTTTAGTCGTCAGTAGAGTTCGGCTCGGGTTTGGTTCGTCTTTCATCTCCAGTACACGTATTTTGTACACACATGCATACAACTCATGGCGTAGGATAGTCTGAGTTTCGGACGGAAGATGTTCAAACAAGGTCATAACATAAAAACAGCGCCAGGCCAAGTACTTCAACTGACTGAGCTAACTTTTTGACTAATCCACCATTACATGAAACAAATTTTAGCGTTGCACGAGTTATATTTTCCAGCTCAAATGTTAAATGGCTCTTGTTCTGTATGGCCACACATTATCATACATTTCTATTCGTAATTTGTAAATTGAGATTGTTTCCAACTTACGCCGTTATAATAATTATTAAAATACTTCTAAGTGGTTGAATAAAAAACCGTTCTTGTTTAAATTTTATTACACTTAATAATTTTGCTAAAAAACTTTAATGGTGAAGGATTATTGCATCACGCATCACTTTCGCTTATACTTTTTACTTACATATTTTTATATTTAACTTTAAAATTCGTGAATGTTAATTGAATCAATATACATTTTGTTTCAGGAATATCATTTTTTTTACATTTATATATCGGCTGCTGAATATTTAACACTGCAGAACATTTGAACAAGCCAAGTTACTTGGGTTGTTTCAATGATGACGTCATTGAGCCTAGAGCACTGTCAAGAAAGGAGGTTGACACAAACTCACCATTTAGATCGTGCCTGCTCTATTGCAATGCTTACCAGTTTGAAGAATTCGCAATCAAGGTAGTTGACATTGGTCAATTCAGAGTGAATAAGTTATATCAACTATTGCCTTTTAAGAAAATCAACACTATTCAGTCTACATTCTCATAACTGTCGTGACTAATTGTAACATGACAAAGACATTTACTTGATGGTAACAAATGAACGAGCGATCGATCGCTTATAATGCATTCACTCCTTCTTCCACATTCAAACATCTTGTTGCTAACAGGAGAACAATCTGTGCGTGTGTGGTGACAAACTGTTCAGTAAATTTGAACAAGTTGAATCAAATCTTTGTGGAAAGTGTCAGGATGACGACTCGAAAACTTGTGGTTCAAACACAAAATTTTCTTTGTACAAAAGTAATTTTTTCATTTATTCAATTAATCAACCAATCAATCAATCAATTAGTTTACAAAGCGCTATTTCCGCGATGTTCAGCACGCTCCTCAGTAAACTTTGCAAATAGATGGGCCTTGAGATCCGCTCTGAACTTCGTAAATGATGGAGAATTTGTCAGAGAAAAAGGTAGAGAGTTCCAGAAAAAAAGACCAGAAAAAGCAAATGCACTTTTAGCAAAAGAGTGTTTAACACGAGTTAAGAAAAAGTGAGAACGAGAAAACGATTGTAAATCGTGCCATTTAGGTTCAATTAATATATATGACTGGTACTTAGGAAATAATTTTAATTAAGACTTATACATTAGTGTGCAAATTTTAAAAATTATTCTTTTTTTTATTATTTTTTAAAAAATCAGGATCTGACTGACGCAGAAACTGTTACAGCATGCAAGGCAGTAGTATAAAATGTATTCAATGTGTTCTATATTTTATAAGTAGTAAGTGCAAAAAACAAGATATGGAGATATATGAGAATAGAAAGGGACACGAAGAATTAGACGAGCAGCTGAGTTAAAAGCTTTAGGGTACTTATATGATAGAGTGTTTGGAATCAGGAAGACCATATTAGAGCGAGCTACAATGATCAATTTAGATAAAACTTAAAAAGAAACAAGGAGAAGAGTAGGATTGTCAAGAAAAGAAAAAAAATTTCTTTATTTTACGTAGATGAAATTAAGAACTTTTAGCAACACTAATAATCTGAGAAGAAAGAGAAAGACATGTTAGAATCATCAAAAATAAAGCCTAGACTGCGAAATTTAAGAGAAACATCAAGAATTTTAGAATCAGGTAAGATAATAGTAGGAATAGTAATAGTAAATTTAATAACGTTTCAAACTGCACATTTTTCGAACAATTTCTTGAAATGTCTGAATAGCTTTTACTTCAATTTGTAATTTATCAATTTATAAAATAAATGTTCAATAAATATTGAACTATTTATTAGTTATTGAAAAATTGTGCATCAATTGGTACCAGGACGGAACTTGTTCAACTACAGGAACAACCCCGTCAACTATCACTTCTGTAAAAATGAAAAAGAGATTAAAGAAAATTGTCAAGCAGGTCAATGTACGGATGGATGGACTGGAGAGCTTTGTGACAAAAGAGGTTTTGTTTGGAGATATTTCATGTTATAGAATAATTCATGATATCAAAAAAGTAGCATGATTTCCAAATGTTTCTCTAATAGTTTTAGAAATGTTTCCATCTATTCGAAACAGATTGTATGGTGGAGCAGGGTGATTGTGGTGTCAGTGCTTCTTGTGTTGTTAATAAATGGGCGGGAGAAGATGTATCAGAATGCAGATATGAATACAGAGTAGGCCTGAACAAAGACGGAAATATCCAAAGTAACAGCTGTTTTCATTTCAATATAACTTCAAATTGTCATTCATCAACGTCAATTTAGAACTTATCTTAATTATCGAATTTTTTCGACTACATTCATTTTTTTCTCTCTATAAAAATCGTTTCCAAAAACGTATGTAAGTTTCGGTTTACAGGTTTTCCTTAAAAACCCTATTCTTTTATTTTATTTCAATTTAACTTGATTTTTTTTTCTATGATTTTCTACTCTGCTAAACGTCGATAAAACAAATTGAAAAATTTTAATGAGAATCGCCAAAAGTGTAAATTGAACTGCTAAATGAATAAATAAATTAGATGAGAAAGTTTTAATTACTGGAATAATTGAAAAAAGCTTGGTTGTACGTTTGATTTTTACAATCTTGGCATTCCTAATTTCTTAAAAATTTCTTTAAAAAATTGTTTCCTACTTGTCGTAATAAAAATTTTGTTGGAGACAAAGAAAACTTTTAAATTGATCTCCCACTGCCTACTTTATAAAAAAAATTTTACGTTGAATTGCTAGAGTTTCAAGAAAGTGTTTTAGAATCTATGGACTATATTGGCTGCTATGCATTCGTTGTATTTAATTTGGTTAAACCAGTTCATAATCTGGATCAATGTGCTAGATTCTGTGTAAATAATGAAGAAAGCTACCTCATTGGACTCAACGTCTGTTTATTGTCATGTTTCTATTAAGTTCTGTTTGCGTTTGTTAGTTTGCTAACGCGTTTGTTAGTTTGCTTGATTTTTTATTACTTCGTTCTCTTTGTTTAGTCCATTGTTTAACCGTTGGTTTGTCTGCTTGTTCATTCAATTTTCGTTTGTCGTTTTTCTTTCTCGTTTATAAAGAAAATTATTTAACACTCAGAACGGAAGAATGTGTTTCTGCGTTGAAAGAGCTTCCTACCCAGTAACCAGTCAACTTTGTAATATGACTTGCAGTGCAGGGAATGAGATGTGTGGGGGCGCCAAATATTATTCCATTTATCAGAGTCTGTTTTTTCTAGAACATTGAGTGCTAACTTACTTACATGTATCTGAAAGTTTTTATTATTTTTAGCAAAACCTGCCAAACCGGAAACATATGCATTGATCGACGCTGGCTCTGTGGTTCCTGACGATGCGAAAGTTTATAAAAATGTGAACTCACTGACCATCGAGTTATGTATGAAGATCTGTGCTGAGAATGCATTGCCACTGGCATATCTCACAGTTATTATCCTTCATATCAATTTTCGTTAACCAAACTCATTTGCAAAATTATTTCCAAGTAACTTTAAATTTTTGAATTATTATGCGAGAGTCTGAAGCTTCATCTATGGAACATGTTTTTGAAGGCTGCTCTGACATCTGTTCAGCCGAATGTCCCAGGCCCTCGCAATGAGCGCTATTTTCCATAACATGGATTAATTTTATCATTATTATTCAATTCTAAACTTTTGATAAGAGATAAAAATTATTAATTTCTTCATTCATCATCTTTGCATCGTACAAGGGAGCGGATGAGTGCCAGTGTAGCTCCAGAGAGAAGGAGTCGTGTGGTGATCCGAAGAATTATGGTGACAACTGCAATATAAAATGTCGTGGGAATGTTGCTCAAAAATGTGGCGGAAAAAATTGCACGGCCAAATTTTCAGGTAAGAAGATAAACAATTTGTTTACGTTTCATTTCTTAAAATATTGCTAAATTTGCTCGCTCAATCATATTTGTAATGTTGTCGTACAGTTGGAACGTATTTGGAAGTTCAAACTGGCCAGTCAGTTTATAGTCACTGTTATGATGAAGTTAAACTGAAACGTTTATCAAGATGTAGTGTAGCTTGCAAAGATGGGTGGACCGGAAAGTTTTGTGATAAAAGATGTAAATTTTATCATTTTTTAAAATTCTAACCAAGCTCTAAACTATTAACTAAGCTCTAAACGTTAAGACGTTAAGAATTTTAAAAAATATTTCTAATTTCAAATTGGAAGATTGTCAAGATTTAGGAGGGCATTGTGGTGAATTGATGAAATGCAATGAAATTAAACTAGGAGAAAAGGTTTACAGTGAATGCGTTTGTCCACCTGGTAAATATAGGACCTCTCAGTGGAAATGTGCAGGTAATGTTTTTCACAAATGTTTTGTTTGCTTTCAAGTGCAGATAATTGTGGTTTGAATTTTGTAATGCTTAAAAATTGTCAACGCTTCACGTTGCAAAGTCACATTTTGGTTTAAAAGATTTGCCGTCTAAGAATGTAGCCTTCAGAAAAAGAGTTGACACCATCCCAAAATTGGAAAGTGATCAAGCCCAGCACCTGGTCGATGGTCACCTCATACGAAATCCTTCAACTCCTGTTCTTCAGTCACCAGATAACATATTAATTACTATACATCTTGACGATTTATACAAAGTACAATATGTAGTTGTCTATCACAGGCCGAATTTCAATAATATCGGTAATGGCGTTTAATTAGAAATTATATCTTTCTAACTTTGAACATTATTAAACGATTGTTTTCAAAAGAAGGCAATCAAACGAACACAATTGAACTTGACGATATTCTGCTGGCCGACTCACTAAGAATTCCATGCGATACATATGAGGTGGGCAGGAGCACATGTGCAGAGCAGCCAGTTTACGTAGATTGTAAACATCCAGGTTTTAAATCGATGTTTGTCTTCATTTTCCCTCAAGTTACACAGAAAGTTAATTATTTGGCCTTAGACGAAATTGAAGTCTTCGCGGGTTAGTTTTTCTTTCTATTTCTGAAAGTTATGCAGTGAGTTTCATGTTGGTTAACTTACTTTGAATTTCAGTACAGTAAAAATAATTATTCTAATACATTACTTTATGTATTATTCAGAAATAAATCCTTAACTACGGTTTCCATACGCTGCAAAAACCAACGTGGCCGTTGACACGTTGCGAGCTGAATAGTTGATAATTAAAATAAAAGTAATAAAAAAAATTACCGATAAAAGCAGGCCTTAACGAGAATAAATAAATGAAGGAATGTTATAATAATTTTGTTATCGACGTTAAACAAATTGAAGTCTAAAATGGCAAATGGAGAGTTAACTTTGTCAAAATTATATTTAGCTTACCTGATATGGTTTTCATTGTTGATTAATTTTAATACGCACAACACACATATAAAGAAATAAATTCTCAGATTTTTATTTTGACACAGTTTAAAAACGAATCAAAATTAATATTTTAGGCAAAACTAATTTTTTTACTGCAGCGTTACGGCGTTTTAGCACTGATAGGCTATTAAAACTAATTCATTTAAAATCTTTGTAATGCATTTGGATGTTTTTTGCTATTTTTTTGATAAGTCAATTTTAAAAATGTTTTTTTTATCGTTCAGTACAAGCAAGTATGCCTTTTTTAATTGATGTCATTTGTTAGGCAAATCAGTGATCTGGAAGATTTCCAAAATTAATTATCAGTAGCACTAACTCCTAACGTGCGCAAAATTTCGTTGTTGGGAATCATCAGATAAAGGATGCTGGAAACGAAATCATAAGAAGCCAGTTTAAAGAAAAATGTTCACAAAAAGCTGAAAATACGTTCAGATCTTTTGGACGTAACTCTGCAATAATAAGAAAGAAGAACTGGAAGTAAATAGTTGGAATCTGTTAGAAAATGACTGAATGATATTCAAAAACGGAACTGGAATGAGAATATTGAATACGTAAAAAATGGACAAGGAAAAAAATGAATTCTATGAAGATCTACTAAAAGATTTTCAAAGGATTTATCAATATTTAATGAACATTTACTTTAAAAATTGACCAAGTGATAGTTTAGTCAATTTTTTCCACTGGTCCTATAACGTTAACCAATGTGTTTAAAGTTATTTTTCCAGTTTTTTCAAATTTTTTGAGTAGATCTTTCAATTGATCAATTTATAAAAACAATATGATTTGCTTTTAACGCAGATGACAGTTGGCGAGAATTTTACTACGTCGGATGTTTTGGTTCTTTTTTTAGTGAGAACGCATTGCAATCAAGGAATATCACATTTAATGAATGCACAATATTCTGCGAAGGACTTCAAAATCCCATATTCATTATTGGCTTGAAGGTCAGTAAGTTCTTTTATAGCTTGCAATTGACAAGAGCGCATAAAAATGAAATATTGTTCCTGGGCGAGATGAGGCAAAAGTATATTTCGAGTTGAACAAACATTCTTCCGTTATAAAACTGATGGTGGTGTGGTATGCTTATAGAGTGATTTCATAGATATCATGGTTTCGTTTATATTTTATAGACCCATTTATAGACCAGAAACACAACTTAGTTTAGCAAGTTTAGCGTCAAGAGACCCAGTTCTCTGGACGCTAAACGAAGATTGATTGATTGATTGATTTATATTCTATAGAATTCAAGTGCTTAGGATAAGAAATATTGATTATAAATTTTTTTTTTGAGAAAAATTATCTTGTTAGAATTGGAATAAATTTTATTTCATTAGATTTTATGACAATTTTTATTTCATTCGTTTATTCTCAAATTTATAAAAAATATTAACCGTGTTAGATTATCACCCGTTAATTTCTAAATTTGAAAACATTTATTAACCAACCCAATAAGAATGGTGGTGAATGTCACTGTGGTTTGTCAGCCAGTGAAGCGAGTGAATCAGTTAATTGCAACGTGATGTGTTCTGATGGCAGCCCGTGTGGAGGACCTAACCATTACATCGTTTTCTCAGGTTTCCAGCGTAATTTTTCATGTTTCTTAATTTCACCTATTTATTGCTTGTTTCTGCGTCTTGTTTAACGCAATCAAAGTTGTTTAACGTATTAATTTCAGCTGACATGCCTAAACCAAGTTACGTTGGTTGTTACTCGGAGGCAATAAAACAAAAGAGCAAGATGATTCAGGTAGATCAGGCAGTCTCGTATACGTCTTGCTTGGTGCATTGCAAGACACAAAACTCCATTGAATTTGCAATCATGGTGAGTCAGTCGCCTATATATATTTGGTTCGAATATTTCAGTTCAACTTAATTGGTTTAATTTTAATATCCAGAGAGGGACTGAGTGCTTATGTGGAAATTTGATGGATGCCTCGTTACAAGTTGCCACGTCTCAATGTAATCAAGCCTGTATCGACGACGCAACCATGTCGTGTGGAGGCACCAAAGAGTACTCTCTATATAAAAGTTGATCATTATTGTTATTAAATCAAACGCTGTGCTTGAAAATTTGTTTTTTATGTTTATCTATTTTTATGTTTTTGTTAAATGTTGAAAAATTTCAATGTTTTCTCTTTTATCAACTGAACTGAATCTACTGAAATGTAAAAAACAATCCAGTGTCTTCTAGGTTCGAAGCAAGCAGTGAACGTCACTTCTGTCTGGACACATCGGCTGGATCTCCAGATTGCAAGCCAGGAAGATGTGATCCTGGTTGGACTGGACCACTTTGCAACAAGAGAGGTAATCTCTTCTATCGGTTATTCTTCACGGGTGATCAAACTTGAAATATTTCCTAGATTGTTCGCTCAATAACGGTGCATGTCCGAAAGATTTGATTTGCTCAAAAGTTTTCGTTGGCCCAGAAATAACCTCTGAATGTATAAAAACCTTAAACTACACAGAAATTTCTGAGAATGAAACCAGTAACCCAAATTTGTTAATTCATTAACATGTTTGTATCAAATGAAGCTAACAAAACTTTAATTGTTTTCCGATAGCCTTGGCGATATCAGTTACGTCAAACCAGTCACATTGGATCGCTTTGATCATTGCTGGATCATTTTTTGCGCTCCTCTTAATGTCAATTGGATCCACCGTTGCTTACGTGAAGATGAAACATCCAGAAATGTATGAAAAAAAAGTTCAGCAAGGTAAGAAATGAAGAAATGTATTTTGCTTGGCAACATTTTAACTCATATCACGCAATTTTTTAACTCGAATTTAAAAAATTTTTGAACGTCGCTAAATAATTTTTTGCCAATGTGATGTGATATTATTTTCAATCAGTGAAAGATTTTAAAGCAAAAGTTGGCAACAAACTGTCAAAACCAGCGGATACTTCGATGAAGGAAGCCGAGCCAAAAAAACCCAAAAAGGAAAAAGTCGCCAAAGCTTCAGCAGCAGCAGTTAAACCAGCTCCTACAGAAGCAATTAAACCAACTCCTGCAGCAGCAATTAAACCAGCTCCTGCTAAACCAGCTGATGAAGAAAGTGATGATGAAGACGATTAATTGAATTTTTAAACAATTCAATTAATTTTAAAATTTATCATTTAGACCACTGTGGTTCATTTCATCCTCAGACTTACAGACGATATTAATTACTTATATGCGACGATTTTTATCATTATCAACTATGTTATATTGTTATATTTGAAAACGTCTGATGGTTTCGCTGTCGTCTGTGTCGCAGGAAAGTTTACCTTACAAAATGGCGAACGTTGATCCCAACGATGCATTGCAAGGCGGCGACCCTAAATTTCTCTATAAGGTTGGAAAGTTGGTGGGTTTAATCGTGGAGAAGATGCAGGAAATGTTGAGAGATTCTTGTCTATCTTGGTTTTCTTCTTATCTCTGTAATCGTTTTTCTTTTGTTGTTCTCAATAATTCTACTTCTAACTCCCCTACTCTTACTTTCCGGGTACCTCAGGGTTCTATCCTTGGCCCTCTTCTATTTATACTCTATACTTCTGAACTACCTCGTATTATTAATAACTTTTCTTTCTCTAGTCAACTATATGCTGATGATTCTTACATTTATACTTCTTTTCCTCCATCTAATCTCAATAGTGTTCTTCATAATTTATCTCTATGTCTTTCTTCAATTATTGCTTGGTCTGACTCTATGTGTCTTAAACTTAATCCTTTTAAGTTTGAATTAATTTGTTTTAATAAATCTAAACACTCTATTACTATTCCTCCTATTGTCTTACCTGATTCTAAAACTCTTGATGTCTTTCATAAGTTTCGTAGTCTAGGTTTTATCTTTGATTCTACTATGTCTCTCTCTTCTCAGATTAATAGTGTTGCTAAGAGCTCTTACTTTCATCTACATAGAATAAAAAAACTTTTGCCTTTTCTTGATGATCCTACTCTTCTTCTTCTTGTTACTTCGTTAGTCTTATCTAGGATTGATTATTGTAACTCGCTCTACTATGGTCTTCCTGACTCTATACTCTATCTTTTAAGTAAAGCTTTTAACTCTGCTGCTCGTCTAGTTGCTCGTGTCCCTTTCTTTTCTCATATATCTCCATATCTTGTTCTCTTGCACCGGCTACCTATAAAATATAGAATAATTTTTAAAATTTGCACGTTCGTGTATAAGTCTCAATCTAAATTATTTCCTAATTATTTATTAGATATATTAATTAACCTAAACGCCCCGGTTTACGATCGTCTTCTTCTTCTTGCTTTTTCTTAACTCCTGTTAAACACTCTTTTGCCAAATCTGCTTTTGCTTTTTCTGGTCCTTTTCTCTGGAACTCTCTACCTACTTCACTGACTACTTCTCCATCACTTGCGAAGTTCAGAGCGGATCTCAAGACCCATCTGTTTTCAAAATTCATTGAGGAGCGCTGTTGAACATCGCGGTAATAGCGCTTTATAAGCTGATTGATTGATTGATTGATTGATTGATTGATTGATTGATTGATTGATTGATTGATTGATTGATTGATTGATTGATTGATTGATTGATTGATTGAGACACGGAGAGAACGAGAACGGCAGTTGTAGCCCTCAAAATGTTTGAGAACCTTCTGCTCCATGTTGATCCGTCATCGTCGATGCCGTTGACATCACAGTCTCATCTCTCTTGCATTATTTTTTGAAACTGATTGTGTCTGGAACTTGTAAAGGTTTACCGACTTCTAAGAAAAAAGCAGTGGCTACTACCACCGCTTCATCGACTTCAACGTCTACGTGCGTGATAAAAGTTAGCTCTCCCTCCGTTAACAAGGTGGTGGCAAGTATCAGGATGGTTGCAAAAGATGAGAGTTATGGGGTGTTGTTATTGTTATGTGAGTACGTGGTTGTCTGCTATCGTTGTTTCTTATTCCATTCGCTTGTCTGTCAGTTTGATTGTTGTTTGTTCGTTGTTTTCAATCGTTCGTTTGTTTTTGTGTTCACTTGTTTGTTTGGTTTGTTTGCATTCCATCGTGTTATCTCCAGTTTGGTTTGCTCCATCCATTAAGTTCATTCAAAGATTCATTAGTTATTTGCTTTTAATTGTTCGTTTGCGCTTTATTTGGTTCGTTTGTTCACTCTCAGTCGTTTACATACTTATTTCTTCTTTTATTCAGTTGCCGGTTCACTCACTCACTCATTTCTTCTTTTATTTAGTTGCTGGTTCATTCACTCGCAGATTTATTTTAGTATTCTAGTCGTTCATTTGTTCAGTCATTCATGCCTTCGAGCATACGCTTGTTTTTACAAATTTTATATAATTCGTTTACGAATGAACATCAGATCTTATTATTAATATAAAAGTAAGGTTATCTAAGAGACTTAATGCGTGATTCTATGCTCATTGGCATAGTTTCAGAAACGTCTTAAGTTCTCAAAAGTGGATTTGGTACGAGACTCTATGCTCATTGGCATAGTTTCGCACGCGTACTAGAGTCACACAATTTGTTTCCAGTGTTGTTCTGACTCTTGTTGTCTTGTGTTGGTCGTGCGAAAGCCGATCAGACTCGACGGCCCAGTGAAAACAGGCCAGGGTTGTGCGAAAGCCGACCGACTGACTGACAGGCCCAGTGAAAACAGGCCCTTGGTCGTGCGAAAGCCGATCAGACTTGACGGCCCAGTGAAAACAGGCCTTGGGTTCTGTGAAAACGAATCCGCCTCGTTGTTTTGTTTCTTGTGCTATTTGTGGACCTAGGGTTCTTTGCTGGATTCTATACTCATTGGTATAGTTTCACACGCAGCTTGGAATTTCCATAGGCTCCGATTTTTGTTATTCATTTCTTTTTATTTCTTGGGGTTGTATCGACATCACCATCGGATACACACGTCGAGGTTTTACGATTAAACGGCAAGAAACATTTCCCAAGTTGAAGACCCCAACAAGAAGAGTTCTAATTCCTGTATTCCAGTTTGTTCATTGACATTTACATTATTATAGAGTTCATTAGTTCAATTCCTTTTATTTATTTCCGTCGATTAATAAAATTGTTATCGAATATTTTTACGCGTTCGTGTGTTACTCAGTAAAATCATATAATTCGAAAAAGCCCAGTGCCACACAGGACTGGTCGAACTCACGATAAAAATATACACAAAAATTATTGTCGGACCATACAAAAATTCCCTGAGAAAGATAGAGGAGGAGATTACCTCACACCACCAGCTGTTTTAATTGTTTTCATTTTATAAATTTTCCGACAATTGGCGCCCAACGTGGGGCTTTGTCATCTTTTAAAAATCTCCTCATTTTTATTATTATTATAAAATCGCCTCATTCATATTATTTTATTTAAAATTTCCGACAATATTTATATATATATATATATATATATATATATATA